AGGCCCCCAGGATTCCTCGGGGACTTCGTTCCTTTGCTCCCCTTGATGCTCTGTCATGCTCCCTTCCTATTTCACCCTGGTGTGTGTGTGTTGGGAGCAGGGGTGGGGCCAGATGGGGCACAACTCCCACACTTATCTCCAGTGCTGTCCCCTGACTGTCACTCTTTATGGGAGTAGAAATCCTCATCTTTCTCCCTCAGAGCAGCTGGTGGCTTTGAACTGCCGACCTTGTGGATTGCAGCTCAGCAGGTAACCACTACACCCAAAGGGGCCATTCTATTCAGAAGGTCTGTGTGCGTTGGAATAGACTCGTTGGCAGTGGGTTTAAGGTAACTATAGCAGATGGTAAAGAATGGGCTAGTGGTTATGCATTGGGCAGCTAACTGCAAGGTCAGCAGTTCGAAACCAACAGCCACTCTGCTCCTCAGAAGAAAGACAAGGCTTTTTGCTCCTGTGAAGAATTACAGTCTCAGAAACTCACAGGGGCAGGTCTACCCTGTCCTACAGGGTCGCTGTGAATCAAGATCAACTTGAAGGCACTGAGTTTGAGTGCGTCCCACGGGCAAGTCACTTAACCTGGTGTCAACTTAAGGCTATTGGATCCACAAGCCTTTCCACCCACTGGCCTGTGATCTTCCTGCATTCAGCATCATTGCATGTGTCGGGTGAGTCTGAAGAGGAATTTAGAGACTGGTATCGAACATATGGGCTAAGATCAGACTTACAGACTTGAACTGGACTGGGCTGGGATGTGTTCTCAATATTCAATTGCTCTTTTATATAAAGCTCTTTCATATACACGACTGATGGTCTATGAATTTGTTTCTCTAGTCCACCCAGACTGACACATCCACACCTTCCTTCATGTCCTCAGTGGTTGCTTCTAAAATCGGAGGAAATGCTAAGGAATAGCCTCCCACTCACGGTGGGCTTGGGGTGGTGGTGGGATTTGAAATGGATGACTCTCCCTTGACCCCCAACAAAAGGCATACACAGAACTCCAGCCAGCATGATCTGCCACCTGTATCTACAATTGCTCTGCCGGCTCCGCTCCCAAGTGACAGTCCCAGATGGAGCCCAGAGCCCCCCCTGCCCCTCAAACACCCATGGCTATTCTCAAAGCCTCAAAGACTATCTTGGGGGGGGGGGCAATCTCATATAAAGGGAAAACAGGGTGCACAAAGCCTTCCTCCTTTCATAAAATGCTCAGGATCCCCTGAGCGTCCTCCTGGGGCACCCCTAGGGAGCCACCAGGATTTGAGAAGTTTGGATCAAAAAGAATAATAATCAAACCCACTGTCATCAAGTCAATTCCAATTCACAGAGCCCCCGAATGTCAGAGTAGAACTTGGCCATCATCCTATGGAGCCTTGGCTGTGTAGTGGTTATGCGTTGGGCTGCCAACCACAAGGTCAGCCGTTCAAAACTACCAGCTGCTCCAAGGGAAAAAGATGGGGCTTTCTACTCCCATAAAGAGTGACCATCTCAGAAACTCACAGGGGCAGTTCTACCCTGTCCTAGGGGACAGTTAGGAATCAACATTGACCCCAGAGCAGTGAGCTTGGTTTGGGGTTTTATTGAGGTATTGGGGACTTTAGCAAGCTTATCTCATTTGTCTTGTGCAAATCAGGAAATATTTATTACCAATGTACAGGTGAGGGAGGGCTCCTTGGGTCTGCTTGAGCAGCAGATTCGTCCAATGAGCTGCGTCTTTTGTGACATGCACTGGGGGGAGGGGAGGGATGTAATGAAAACCTAACAATGCTTTTATCCAGTGTGATAGTTACATAATCTGGCGTCAACTTAAGACTATTAAGAGTGAAGGAGTGGAGCTTGGCCTGTCTATCAGGTTGCAGCTTGATGACCTCATTTGGAGGCCCAACGGAGAAAAATAGCTCACTGGAGGACAGACACACTCTCTCTGTTTGACATTCCTGTTGACAAGCTATGGAGCTACACTATGGAGCCAGAGCCCTGGAGCTGGAGGAGCCACGTGAAGACCCACACCAGTGCTGAGATGCTTCCACCACCACTGGATCCACAAGACTTTCCACCCACTGGCCTGTGATCTTCCTGCATTCAGCATCATTGCATGTGTCGGGTGAATCTGAAGAGAAATTTAGAGACTGGTATCGAACATATGGGCTAAGATCAGACTTACAGACTTGATCTGGACTGGGCTGGGATGTTTTCTCAATATTCAATTGCCCTTTAATAGAACACTCTTTCATATACACATCTGATTTGTCTACGAATTTGTTTCTCTAATCCACCCAGACTAACACATCCAGTGTATCTTCCCACACCTTCCTTCAGTGGTTGCTTCTAAAATCGGAGGAAATGCTAAGCATTATTTTAAGAGAAACGAAAAAACAGCCGCGGAGAGGGGACCATATAGCTTTGCTGGGGCTGCCTGGCAGTGCTGAAGCACACAGTCATTCCCAGGCCGACCATCCATGAAAGCCTGACACCTGGTGGCCACTAAGGATATTGCACTCCTTGCT